CCCCCCCCGCCCCTCTCTGTCACCACTGGGGTCACATTAGCTGAGCAATGGAGAAAAACTTACGGAGAAGAAACACTGGAATACTAGTCAGTGTGCAATGCAGAAAAACGTAGGGAGAAAATAAATATTGGAATACAGGTCCGTATCAGTGTGCAATGGAGAAAAACTCAGGGAGAAGAGAAACACTGATACTCAGTATCAGTGTGCAAAAGTGTATTTGATTTGAGAGAATAAATCACCTCTAATATTGAGTGTTGTTCACGTGTGAATGTTGACGCATTGCATAAAACTATTAGAATAGTTTTTCACATTTTAGAATGGAGTGCCTCAAAACTGTCCATAATTTAAGAGGGTGCCTTGAGATTGTGCATAATTGTAAAGGGTGCCTTGACTGGATAAAGGTTGAGAAACACTGGTCTAGAGAACCAAGGGAGCATAAAAAATAGACGAAGGCCAAATGAGGGTCAATAAAGACTTTAGGAGTGCTTTAAAAATTAACATAATCTACATTTTGCACTAATTTGTAGGCATTTAAGGATTTTTTAGCTGCTAAACATATGTTGAAGCTTCCAACGGTGTAATGAAGGCTAGAATAGAAAAGCATACTTGAATTAGGTCCTGAATGCAATTACCACCTATACCATCTCAATTGCTAAGCCACTGGTGTTATCAAAAAGATGTTTTTCTCTATGCCAGGGGTCTCCAAACTTGCTAAACAAAGGGCCAGTTTATTGTCCTTCAGGCTTTAGGAGACTGGACTGTGGCCAGCAGGAGTGGAAATTTTCCTGGCATCAGTGGGAGTAAACATCACCACATTTGGTCTTAGGAGTAGCTCCCCCATCATTGGTATCTGTGGCAGGAATGGTGCCCCATTGTTGGTGTCAGTGGGAGAAATAGTGCCCAATTGTTGTCAGTGGGAGGAATGGTGTCCCATTGTTGATGTCAGTTGGCACAATAGTGTTTCGCATCAATCAGAGGAATACTGCCCCGAGGGCCAGATAAAGGCATGCAAAGGGCCGCATCTGGCCCCTCAGCAGCAGTTTGGAGACCAGTGCTCTATGCTAAACAATACAGGTCTCTTCTGAATAGTTTTCTTGTTATACCTTGCTACCCTGAACAGGAGCCCAGAGAAATAACTGGAGCTTCTAAGTACGGGAGAACATGTAGCATGCCCCCATGCCTTTCCACAATACAAGCAACTGAGCACTTAAATACAGGTCTTGACACTGTCATGTAGGAGCAATGGTACCTACATAGCTTTATTTATATTTGATTTTCTCAGGAAGACTTCCAAGCTGAAAGGATGAAATTGCTAACACTGCCTACTGTAAAGCAAACCTGGTATTTTGTCACATGGGCACTTGTTTTAAAGCCCAACATGAGTTTCACATCTTTCAGCCCTCCCACAGTGCTCTTTGCTGGCATGGATGAGTAAGGGGCACACCTTTCCTTACACGTGTCCTCAAATAGATTTTTAGTATTGAAGAAGAAAGTGGACATGTCTGACCAGAGATGGGACATGTCTGACTAGCTATAGTAGATAATGGAGTGCACTAGGCGGCATTATCTACTCTAATGCGTATTGAACTACAGATTTCTGTTTAGACACACTGCTGTAACAGAAAAGTGATGGTAAAGCTGCCTATACTTTCACTTCTTTTGACAATTCCTACAAAAATTTGCACACAAAATTCTCAGTATATTTGACCTCTTGACAAATGTGTTTAGAAAGTACTTCACAGTTCTGTTGACCTTTAACATTTGATTTTTGAATGAATAAAAACTTTACTAAATAAAAACCACATACACAGTTAGAAATTCATTAGAGAAAAAGTTTCCACCCTGCTCCTTCAAATTTTCCAAAACGAACATCAGTTCATTCCCCAACAACCCCGCTAACGATTAGAAAATTAAACAAATGTTCTGAAAATGAACATTTTTTAATGAAATTCTATTAGCATATGGCCAGTTTAAGACTATGAAAATGGAGATTGCTAGTATGTCTGACTACATATCTATTTCTGTGACTACAGTTGGGCGTGAAGCAAGTCTCAAGTTCCCACTGTAAAAAGCATCCCATGCTAGTCAGCATGCATGTTTTCTTTTTTAAATAACTAGCTAATAAATATTTTTCTACTCCCCAGAATGCTTTAAGCAGTTGGAATAGTTGGAAAGCTTTAAAGACACAAATTGTTATTAATAGTTCTTTAGAGGTGGTACACAAACACATTCAACATTTAAAAACTCCTCAGGGATGGAAAGTATGATGCCAAGAGCATTGGCTTGTTTGTAAAAGTAGGTGACGCGTTGGAATAATAAAGTTAACATTTCCAAGGCCTGGTCAGGAAAGAAATAAAATATTTAATTTACTAAAAATGACTAACTCTTCTACAAAAATGTCTTTGAGATATGAGTTGCACCAAAAATATTACTGTATTTGATTTCTGTGTAAAACAGGAAACATCAAAAACATGTTTCAATGAGTAATTTAACAGTTATGTCATTGTTTCCCCCTCTGCATGAAACGTTTCTTCTGACCACTTAAAATTCCCAACATCATTTTTTAAGTATTTTAAAGTATAAAATGATTTTTGTACAATTCTGACAATACATTAGACTTACAAATGATTATACTGAACAAACATGATTTAGTTGGATAATATAAGACTCGGTGAATCTGAAAAGAGAAGGGCAACTACATTAAAGTGGTTGTAAAGGTTTTCTTTTTATGACAAACATGTTATACTTACCTGCCCTGTGCAATGGTTGTGCACAGAGAAACCCCAATCCTCCTCTTCTGGGGTCCTGCGCCAGTGCTCCTGACTCCTCATCTGCACTATGTGCCACTATAGGAAGCTACTTCCTATGGTGGCACACATGTGGGCTCAGCACCCCCCCCCCCCCTTTGCTCACAGGATTTGATTGACATCAACAGGAGCCAATAGCTTCCACTGATCTCACTGAGTCCAGTGAGGAGGGAGAGAGAGAGTAGCACAGCTGTTCTTGGGCACAGCACTGGATCAAGATTGGGACTAGGCAAGTATAAGGGAGGGGCTGGGGGTAGCTGCAAATAAACATTTTTTTTATCTGAATACAGGGAATGTATTACGTTAAGAAATCTTTAGCCTTTGCAACCACTTTAATAAAAGTTGCAAATCATCCCACACCCTGCTACAAGGCTCACACCCTCGCTCCACTAACTAAAGGATGTAGACTCCAAAGCAGTCTGTGCTCTGCTAACAAGAGTAGCATAAGAAACAGAAAAGGAGTTTCTCAATTTCAATAAGTCTAGAATACATTTATTTATATAATGTGATACAGTTAAAATCGATGAATATTACTATGATTAAACTCCAGGTGGAACGAAATGCATAAAAGGAGTACGTGGATTTTCCCTGTATCTAATGATATGAATAAATGTATTCTGGACTTTTCGAAGTGGGGTGGCTCCCTTTCTGTTTCTTGCACTACATTAATATAGGAACCTAGCTATGAGAAAATGTTAGCTGAACTGAATTTATGCTCCCTTGAGAAGAGGCATTTAAGGGGAGATAGGATCAGCTTGTATAAATACATATGGCCCATATAGTAAACTTAGCACAAAAAGATGTTAACTTTAAAGCACTCAAAAGGGGAATTTCTGCTCTTCTTCCTCTTCCCCCTCCTCTGCCACATTTGAAATATACATTATATTGCCAGAAGTATAGGGCCAGCCCTTCAAATCATTGGATTCAGGTGTTCCAATCGCCTCCATGGGCACAGGTGTATAAATTCAAGCACCTAGGCATGCAGACTACTTCTACAAACATTTATGAAAGAATGGGTCACTCTCAGGAGCTCAGTGAATTCAAGTGTGGTACCGTGATAGGTTGCCACCTGTGTAATAAGTCCATCCGTGAAATTTTCTTGCTACTAAATATTTCACAGTCAACTGTTAGTGGTATTATAACAAATTGGAAGCGACTTGGAACAGCAACTCAACCACAAAGTGATAGGCACGTAAAATGACAGAGCTGGGTCAGCGCATGCTGAAGCACACAGAAGTCGCCAACTCTCTGCAGAGACAATAGCTAAAGACCTCCAAACTTCATGTGGCCTTCAGATTAGCACAACAACAGAGCATAGAGAGCTTAATGGAATGGGTTCCATGGCTGAGCTGCTGCATCCAAGCTTTACATCACCAAGTGCAATGCAAAACAATGGAGGCAGTGGTGTAAAAGCATGCCACCACTGTACTCTACAGAAGTGGAGACCATGTTCTCTGGAGTGACAAATCACACTTCTCTGGCAATCCGATGGACGTGTCTGGGTTTGGTGGTTGCCAGGAGAACGTTACTTGCCTGACTGCATTGTGCCAAGTGTAAAGTTTGGTGGAGGGGGGATTATGGTGTGGGGTTGTTTTCTGGGGTTGGGCTTGGCCCCTTAGTTCTAGTGAAGGGAACTCTTAAGGTGTCAGCATACCAAGACATTTTGGGCAATTTCATGCTAGCAACTTTATGGGAACAGTTTGAGGATGGCCCCTTCGTGTTCCAACATGACTGCACACCAGTGCAGAAAGCAAGATCCATAAAGACATGGATGAACAAGTTTGGGGTGGAGGAATTTCACTGGCCTGCACAGAGTCCTGACCTCAATCTGACAGAACATCTTTGGGATGAATTAGAGCGGAGACCACAAGCCAGGCCTTCTCATTCAACATCAGTGCCTGACCTCACAAATGCTCTTCTGGAAGAATGATCAAACATTCCCATAGACACACTTCTAAACCTTGTGGACAGCCTTCCCAGAAGAGTTGAAGCTGTTATAGCTGCAAAGGATGGACCAACCCAATATTGAACCCTACGGACTAAGACTGGGATGCCAGTAAAGTTCAAGTGTGTTAGCCAGCTTATAGTATAATTTTAACCCTGAACTGTCTGCTTTCATTGATGGCAAACACTGCTTTTTACATGAGAAAAATGTAATTTCCAGCACAAGGTCTAATGTGTGAAAATACATACCATTACTTGATCTTTCATCAATCGATGATCTGATTCCACCACCGTTTATAATGCAGAGTGAAACATGATTCCAATTCATTTCATCTGGATGTCGAATATTATTGGAAATCTGAGGTTCCAAAAGATATTGCATAAGTGCATTATTTCTTTGGTATACTGTTTACAAATTCTATACATTACATTTTACTATTCACACACAGTTAATACACTGGCTGGCAGGAATGTAGACATGTGGTTATGGGCTCTATGGTTAATGACTGATACAGAGAAAACACACTTGTTGTTTTTTTCAGATTTGTAAACCTTCACTTTGTAACAACCCATTCAGTGTAAAATATAAATGAAAGGTAAAATATTTGTATATAGATATAAGGAAATTATAAATACTTTTTAGACATTTTTATAAGTGATCACATTCCCTCTGTACTCAGCTGGGGGAGGAGAAACAGCATTACACTGATCTCCACAGTGAACGGGGGACGTGTCAGGACAAATATGATCATTGGTAAAGAGCAGATTGAGTTCCTAGCACAGCTAGAGAACTGACCACTGTGTGTTCTCCTGCTTAGTGTGGTCAGTTTTTAACAGGAATGCAGAGAGACTGGCAGGAACACCAGGGATTTCACACAAAGAAAGCAATACAAAGAACAGAATACTTTTTAACAACAGTATATGGTACAACACCTACATTTCAGGAATTTGAAATGTTAGGTTTACATTTTTATATACTTTAAATCAATTCTGTTTTGAGTCTTGAATCCTGGAGGCTTTGTAGAGCTTTGAGTGGGAAAGCCTCTGTTGTTCCTAGCAGGCTGTTGTCACTCAGCCGGTCCAAAGTCAGGATTCACCCCAGAGTCTGGAGCAGCACGTAGATCAGCCTCTCAGAGAGCTACTGAGAGCCTGAGCCAGCTGCTCCCTCCCCCTCCACAGCCCAGCTCTCCAGTGAAAGCTGGGAGGGGCAGAGCAGTGACTGACAGTCACCACTCTCTGCTCAGAGCGGCTGTGTGAACTCAGCGATCAGTGGTCATGTGATCGCTGAATTCTCACTCTTAGAGCTGGCAGCGGACACATGCAGCATTATCCGATCCTGCATCCACCTAGGTATGGAGGAAAAAAATGTAAATCCCTACTTCTCTTTTAACCACTGCCACTACCAGTGGAGCCTGTCCACTTTACATACTTCATACCAGAATACATATAGTAAATGTTACATTACCTTCAGATATTAATACATACAGTGTGTATACAGTTGTGCTTATAAATTGACATACTCATGGCAGTATCTTGTACATTTTTTTTTTGCATCAATGCCACAAAACATCTAGCTTACAATTAATTAAACACCACCTAGAGAAGCCTCAAAACGACAGAAACAAAATAATTTGGAGTGATGAAATTAAAATTGAACTTTAAGGTAACAACAATAAACACTGTGTTTGGAATCAAAAAGGCCTATAAAGAGGAGCACATTATGCCATGAAGCATAGAGGTGGCTCTCTGCTGTTTTCGACGTGTGTGAGCTACAGTGGCACAGAGATTTTAGTAAACATTGATGAAAAGATGAATACAGCACATTATCAAACATATTGGAGGAAAATCTGCATTTATCAGTCCAGGAGCTATGCATAGAGTGCACTTGGATTTTTCATGGTCCAAACATAAGGCTAAGTTGACCCTTCATTAGCTGCAGCAGAAAAAAGGAGTGGCAACAAAATCTCCTGACTGCAACAGGGGTTATTTACTAAAACTGGAGAGTGCACAATCTGGTGCAGCTCTGCAAAGAAACCAATCAGCATCCAGGTTTTATTTCCAAAACGTAACTGAACAAGCTGGAGTTAGAAGCTGATTGGCCACCATGCACAGCTGCATCCAATTCTGATTGCACTAGTTTTAGTAAATCTACCCCATTGAGTCACGTTGAGGAGATCTTAAATGCTGTATGTTGTATATAGTTCATGCTAGACATCTAAAGAATTTACAGGACCTGGAGGCTATTTTACCAAGAAGAATGGGCCGATTTTTTCAGGAGAAAAATAAGAGCCTTATTAATGAATATATCAAAAGACTGCATACAAAAGTCTTCATTGATGCTAAATGGGGCAATACATATACACACTTTTGAACAGGACTATTTTATTATTTGCTTCATTTCTATGGTTTGATTGTTCTGCTATTCTGTGACACTTAATAGTATAATTTGAATAACTGGACAGAATATTAATTTATTATGAATGCTCAAGAGCAAAACATGCCTAGTATTTAGGTGTACTTACACATGTTCAGCTTTTTTTCTACCCTAAAGCTCCTCTTCTAAATGTGATGGTGCATTTTTTCAGCTTCTAAATGCTCCTCTTTTAATATGCCTGTAAATACCTGTGTGTGCATGGGCACATAAGCTAACATAGAGGTACATTTACAGGCTGAAAAAAATGTCAAATGCCTGTAAAAGTGGCATTTTTTTTTATGTAATGTGTGCCTGAGGCCTAAAATAGATAGCACATTGTGGAATTAGTATACACCCTGTTCTAAATTATTATGCAAATTATATTTTTCTAATTGACCTAAATAATTGATGTAAATAGCAGTCAGCATAATTCTCATGTTATCAACTATTAAGAGTACAATTCACATTTTATTGAACAAACCTCTTAATGATAAAAGTATTTTTTTTAAACATAAAAAACTTACAATGCACTGTTCCAAATTATTACGCACAGTAAGTTTCAAAAACACTTTATAGGTTGTAAAGAACTGAAAATTGTCATTTGTTGTGTTTGCAGCATATTTACTGAAATCAAAAGCTATTTCAATCAAACTTTTACCAACATTTTAACTTTTTAAACATTTTAACAGTTCATGTTACATTGTAACATAGGACCCCTTATTTGATAGCAGCTTCACAAGTCTTGCATCCATTGCACTTGTGAGTTTTTGGACAGTTTCTGCTTGAATTTGTTTGCAAGATGTCAGAATAGCCTCCCAGAGCTGCTGTATGGATGTAAAACTGCCTCCCACCCTCATAGATCTTTTGCTTGAGGATGCTCTAAAGGTTCTCAATAGGATTGAGGTCAGGGGAGGATGGAGGCCACACCATGACTTTCTCTCCTTTTATCTACCATAGCAACCATTGATGCAGAGGTATTCTTTGCAGCATGAGATGGTGCATTGTCATGCATGAAGATGATTTTATTACGGAAAGCATAGTTCTTCCTTCTGTACCAGGGAAGAAAGTGGTCAGTCATAAACTCCACATACTTTGCAGAGGTCATCTTTACACCTTCGGAGACCCTAAAGGGGCCGACCAGCTCTGTTCCCATGATTCCGACCCAAAACATGACTCCACCACCGCCTTGCTGACGTCGCAGCCTTGTTGGAACAGGGTGGCCGTCCACCAACCATCCACTACTCCATCCATCTGGGCCATCCAGGTTTGCACGGCACTCATCAGTGAAAAGGACTGTTTGAAAATTAGTCTTCATGTATTTTTCTGCCCAATGCAGCCGTTTCTGCTTGTGAGCATTGGTTAGTGGTGGCCAAATAGAAGGTTTATACACAGCTGCAAGACTCTGGAGGACTCTACACCTTGATGTCCGTGGGACTTCAGAGGCACCAGCAGCTTCAAATATCTGTTTGCTGCTATGTAATGGTATTTTAGCAGCTGCTCTCTTGATCTGATGCATGGGTCTGGCAGAAATCTTCTTCAATGTGCCTTTATCTGCACAAACCCATCTGTGCTCTGAATCAGCCACAAATCTCTTAACAGTGCGATGATCACGCTTACGTTTTCGTGAAATATCTAATGCTTTCATACCTCGTCCAAGGCATTGAACTATTTCACTCTTTTCGGCAACAGAGAGATCCTTTTTCTTCCCCATATTGCTTGAAAATGTTGCTCTGCTTAATAATGTGAAAAAACCCTCCTTTAGTAGTTTTTCCTTAAATTGGGTTCATCTGCCAATCTAATTATCACAGGTATCCGAGATTGTCTTCAGTGATCAAAAGAGCCCTGAGACACAATGCCATCCATGAGTTAAACTGAAAAACAAAATTTTTAATCTTTGTGACACTTAAATAGAATTTGCATAATAATTTGGAACAGGGTGTAAAGGAAAACTCCACCAAGGAATGATGAAAACTGCCTTTTCTGATTTCTTCTGAAAATGCTATTTACCTGACTGGTATTTAACTCCAATGGCTTTAATACTTTGAGACACTGATCTAAAATGATTATGCAGGGGTTCTAACTTAACTCTGACTTTCTGATCGGCTTTTTTGTTCCAAGTCATTGATTGAGAAAGCATTGAAATTAGACACAGGCTACTTGGCTTTTCAAATGCAAGCAATGGCAGTCTCCATATTTATCTCAGTACATGTTTCCTTTACAGTGGGGAAAATAATTATTTGATCCCCTACAGATTTAGTAAGTGTGCCCACTTACAAAGAAATGAAGGGTCTATAATTTTTGCCATAGGTGTATTTTAAATGACAGAGACAGAATATCAACCAAAAATCAGAAAAAACACATGATACAAATGTTATAAATTAAATTGCAGTTCAATTAATAAAATAAGTATTTAATCCCCAAGTAAAATACGACTTAGTACTTGGTGGAGAAACCCTTGTTGGTATGTACAGAGGTAAAATGTTTCTTGTAGTTGGTTAAAGGGTTTGCACACATCTCAGGAGGGATTTTGGTCCTCTTCCTTACCGATCTTCTTTAAATCCTTAAGGTTTCTTGGCTGTCATTTGGGAACTCGAATTTTCAGCTCCCTCCATAAATTTTCTACAGGATTAAGGTCTGGAGACTGCCTAGGCCACTCCTTGGCCTTAATGTGCTTTTTCTTCAGCTACTCCTTTGTTGCCTTGGCAGTATGTTTTGGGTCATTGTCATGCTGGAAGTTCCATCCACAACCCATCTTCAGTGTTCTGGCTGAGGGAAGAAGGTTCTCATCCAAGATATTACAATACATGGCCCTGTCCATTGGCCCCTCAATGCGGCAAAGTCAGCCTGTACCTTTAGCAGAGAAACAGCCCCAAAGCATATAGTTTCCACCATATGCTTGGTTGTAGGGATGGTGTGCTTAGGGTCATAGTTAGCATTTTTCTTCCTCCAAAGATGGTGAGTTGCATTTATGCCAAAGAGCTCAATTTTGATCTCATCTGACCACAGCACTTTTTCCTAATCCTTCTCTGACTCATTTAGATGTTCATTGGCAAACTTCAGATGGCCTTGTACATGTGCCTTCTTGAGGAAGGGGACCTTGCGGGTGCTGCAGGATTCTGATCCATGGCGGCATATTGTGTTACCAATGGTATGTTTGGTGACTGTGGGCCCAACTGCTTTGAGATCACTCACAAGCTCCTCCCACGCAGTTCTGGGCTGATCCCTCACTTTTTTCATGATCATCCTTACCCCATGAGGTGAAATCTTGCATGGAGCTCCAGACCAAGGGCAATTGATTGTTATTTTGTATTTCTTACATTTGCGAATAATTGCTCTAACAGTTGTCTCCGTCTCATCAAGCTTTTTTCTGATGGTCTTGTAGCCCATTCCAGCCTTGTGCAGGTCTACAATCTTGCCCCTGACATTCTTTGACAGCTCTTCAGGCTTGCCCATGGTGGTGAGGTTTGAATGGAAGAAAGAGATTCTGTGGACAGGTGTCTTTTATACACATAACGAGTTGTCATTAGGAGCACATTCTTAAATTGACAGGACTAATCTGTGCACCATATGAGCACATAGCCAGTCTGTGGGAGCCAGAATTATTGTTGGTTGGTAGGGGATCAAATATCTATTTTACTCACTGAACTGCAACTTGATTTATATTTGTATCATGTGTTTTTTCTGGATTTTTGGTTGATATTCTGTTTTTATCATTTAAAATTCATCTATGATAAAAATTATAGACCCTTCATTTCTTTGTAAGTGGGCAAACTTACAAAATCTGCAGGGGATCAAATATTTATTTTCCCCAGTGTATATGGTTTTAATCTTCTCTTGTCTCTACTTTATTGGGACAATGGCAGAATTTAAAGTCTAATTGGATTTTCAGTTAAAATCAGCTACATATATTCCAGTAGGGGGTTGCCAGACCTCTGCAGAGGAATTAGAGAAAAATGGCCAACAATATATGATATATATATGTTTTATTGGTAGAAAGTGGCAAGAAGTGTCTTGGCAAGCCCTTTGCAGACAAACAAAATGTAGGTTTAAAATGGTAGTTTTTTTTCACTGATTTCAGGAAATGTACATCCAAAAAGATGAAAAGAAAATGTATATAGTATATTGGGTAAATCATTCATTCCCAGTCTCTTACCATAGCATCACAAATCAGGTTTCCCATATTGCACTCCCGAAAACGACACTCCAGAGAAGAGCCATTTAGAAATACTATGGTTTTTCCAATTTCTTGAGCAGAGTATTCAAGCAATTGTTCCTTCCATTTTTTAACCTCTGCTAGAAGTGCTGGGTCTAGGAAAAAACAACATATATGCATCACATCTACTGCTGATAAGAATTTATTCATTTGAGTTTATCATATGGTGTGAGAACTAGTATCAAACGGTAGAGTTTTATGGCCTCAGCCACTTGCTTTCTTCTTCTGTTTAAGGGCTTTTCTTGTCTAATTTTATTAAAAGAAAGTTAAGAAAACAAAACCAATGTTTTTCCCTCACAGGGGTTTTCAAAACAACAGATCATTAGCCTCCTGGCTTACACATACAGTACATCACTGCGGCTCTGGCCATACTCTTCAGGCCCTTGTCTGTCTCCTACAGACTGTCCTCTCACAAACGCTTGGACCATTCACTTGCTGCTCTAGTTCCCACCTCTCTTCTAGGTGGAGCCCTCCTCACTCCTGGGCAGAGACTTCTTCTGTCTAGAGCCTAGAACCCTAGTCAGGTCTCTCCTAAAAGCCCAGCACACACCTGCCCAATTAGTGTGCTGGAGGTTTCCAAAACCAGGAACCAAGATTGGAGATTTCATCCCTCCATGGTTTTACAAACCAAAGAGGAAACTGAAAAGTCAGTTTTCTCTGAATGACACTAGTTCCCTGAAGTGAAAATAACTTCAGCTACACTTGTGTTCTGAAGTTCTTTGTAAATTAAAAAAAAATGAGAAAAGAGCAAAACAAAAAAAAGGCCAAAACAGATATAAAATATTCCTTCCTTTAGAGGGGTGCCCCAAGGGAACACAAAGGATAAATTTAGACTTGTGTGACCTGCCTTTTTACAGACAGTAAGGTGATGTAAGCCTTCCTCACTTAAGTCTGTAATTGCAGCATCAATGAGCTGCAACCACATGCATTGCATGTAGTTGCTGGACATTTGCGCCGCTTTCCCATTTGCTTGAACCGGTTGTGTCTGCAGCAAACACAATAGGCGTGATAGTTGTTGCGAAAATAAAAAGGTTTGTGTCCACGGCGTGCGTACACCCTTGTCCGCTGCCTTTGCACCTTATAATGGAACTGTTATGGCTGATATACGCAGCTCTACCACACGTTTGTAATGCACCCAACTGCAACTCTAAACAAGATGATACTGCTGATCCATGCAAGTGTCTCTGTGATCAATCTAGCTGCTGAAACCCAGTGCACTCATAATAGTAAAAGATATGCCAGCACAGGTTCAGGTAAGTGTTCTACATACCAGATCTGTGATTTATCTGCAGATAGAGCACACAGAGGAACCAATGCTGACATATCCTTCACTATTTTGAGTGCACTGTGCTTACTAGCAGCTGAACAGATACCAGAGATACTTGCTCAAATCAGCAGCTAGTGTTCCTTCGGGGCACCCTACTGCTTCATTTTCTTATTTTCATGTTGCCTGCTACAATGTCATCCATCACTGCTGTAATAGTCTGTGGAATTGCCTGTGAGGTGCCTGTGTCCTCTGTGCCTCAGCAGCCTCTATGTAAGGTAGGTGTGCATGCTACTTTTTTCTGCAGGTCCTGAGGGGAGGCTGGGGTTGCAGAACCCAGTGAGAACAAGCGAGAGGAGGTGCAGGCTTCATTGTTAGCTGTACCACTCCATAGGACTGTCCAGAATTTCAGCTTCAGTCTGATGGAGCTACAGCCAGCACTGACATGTTCTTTTATTTCTTAACAATAGTATAGATTTCAAAGGCACCAAGCGCTACATGCACTGAGTGCCTAGGGCACGTGTCAAACACAAGGCCCACCAGTCCATTTCATATGGCCCTCACACGCAGGATTTTTTTTTAAGCCGAAAAACATGGTGGAACTCCATTTCTTCACCTCCAGCTCTCACCCTCCATTCTCCGCTCACCACTGTCACTTGTAAACACAGGCATCCTTTTTACAAGGGCAGATTTCCTCTTGGCAGCTCTCCCAGATCCCTGCCTGCCCTGCATGTGCTCATGACAGGGACGGAGCCCACCAATTATCGCCTTGCAAGTGAAATAGGGAGGTGGATCCGCCTACGCAGATGGGAAGTACTAGAGCGGGGCAGGGTAGGTGAGGTGCGAGGAAGCTTTTGGAGGGTGTGAAGAGATGAAGGCTGTGGAGGAAGATGTGTGCAGAGGTGGAGGGATGAGGTAGAGTGGCGTAGAGGTCAGAGCCCATGGGGAAGGGGTGCAAGTGAGATGTGGAAGGCTGAGAAAAAGAGCTGAACCCTGCACTCTGTGCATAGCACACCCCTAAACCCTACGCTATGTATGTAGCGCACTCCTCAGCCCTGAACTCTGTACACAGCACACACCTGAACTCTGCACTCTGTTCGCCACGTACTCCTGAACTCTGCACTCTGTTCGCCACGTACTCCTGAACTCTGCACTCTGTTCGCCACGTACTCCTGAACTTCGCACTCTGTACGCCGTGTACTTCTGAACTATGCACTCCGTATGTAGCACACCCTTAAACCCTACACTCTTTACATAGCATACTCCTGAACTCTGCACTCCGTATGTAGCACACTCCTGAACTCTGCATACATAGTATTACAGATACAAACAGCTCTTTGAGGGCAACCATAATGCTGATGCGGCCCGCAATGCAATTGAATTTGACACCACTGACCTAGGGGATTCAACACATTGAGGGAGATATACTAAAGCTGGAGCACACAGTACATGGTAGACAATCAGTTTCTAACTTTAGAACTGAACCATATTTTGCACACTCCAGTTTTAGTAAATGTCCCCCATTTTGTTTACATTGTGGTAATACATACCCTTTAAAAATATATATGTACTACAGAGTGCAGTAATCTGTAGTGACCAATCAGAACCCATATTGTAGCGGTCTGTCTTGAGTGGTGCGAGTTTTGATTTACTGCTATAGGTTACCTAAAAAAACCTGTTTGTTTAAGTAAACAGGACTGAATAGGTGTTTTAATTACTTGATCCTCTATTCCCCTGGCAGATAGTACTCCCCCATGTTTAGGCGGTGAATTGTTCCTCACTGTCCCCAATTCCAGTGAAGGGCTATGCTCCCTGTATCAGTCTTCATGACATCAGAGGACCTTAGACCACTGAAGCATAGTGAATGTGAGGACCTGGCAGCAGCACGGAGGAGCATGCAGGAGCAGAGGATTATGTAAGTAAAACTGCTTTTCAAAGCCCCCTTGACATAAACCAGCAGTTAACCCTTGCAGTGTGGGTGCAATCCCACTGCAAGGAAGGGTTTTTAGGTTTTCGGGAGTTTAGCGTTTGAGTATTCATTACCCTACTGCTTTAAATTACCTTTATTTTTTTCAACAAAGTACATTTCGTTGTTAATCAGCACTTGTGACCCTGGCTTAGTTTTGGTAGGCAGGTTAGCCTGCATTCTATCTGCCAACAATACTAATTCTAAATGTAATTTCATATTCTTGGGAGCAGAATTCTTATCCGGTACACTGCAAAGTGCAAGCCAAATATTTATGTTCATGATTCATTTGGGTTTGTTTTACTAAATGATTACAGAGCTCTTCTGTTCACAACAGACAGTTTTTCTGATAAAAATATTTTAAGTATACATTCAGCAGTTATAGCAAAGCATAAATTACTATTAGCAACCCCCTTGTTTGTCTCTGAGCTCCTGCACCATAGAGATGATTTTTGTTATAAACTATATTGGATACAAGTATCCTCTTCCGATTATTAAATCCAGAGTAAATCTAAGAGTACGGCCAGCCCAGGGTACCTAGGAGTACAGCCAGACCAGGGTACCTAGAAGTTTGGCCTAATGTGGGCTCCATAGAGAGGAAATTGTCTGCAAATGTTGGGCACCACATCCATAACAGACTTTTATTATCTCAGAACTGAACACCGGGATTGGACAACCACCAGCTAAATGCCTGGGGGTGTGTTTATAAAAAAAAATCTGCATAATATTTTGCCCAGGGAAAGTGCATGCACACTATTTATAAATGGGGAAAAATAAAATTTGAATGTTATTAGGCTATTTCTTGTGCTGGTCAAATGTTTTTTAAAATGAAAAATATTGCATTTGCCCACTAGATAGTGCTGAGTACCATAGGCATTTCCTATGATACGTATTGCCATCTAGTGGCCAAGTGCAGTATTTGTGGTTTTAATTCAATGAAAAACATTTGACTAGTACAGGAAATAGTCCATAGCAATTGTTTTTTGCCCCATTCTCCAAAATTTCATTTTTATAAATAGACAAGATAAGTGCGTGAGTAGCCCGCATATTAATATTATTTTACAGGATTTATATAGCACCAACAGTTTGGTCAGCGCTTTACAATATAAAGGGAGACAATACAGCAACAATACAGTTCAATACAAGAGGGGTAGGAGGGCCCTGCTCCTGGGAGCTTACATTCTAATAGAGAGGGGCTGGTGGTACAAAAGGTAATACCTGTGGGGGATGGACTGATGGAGAAATAGAAGATTTGGTTATTAGCTGAAGGCAGGATAAGCTTCCCTGAAGAGATAGGTTTTCAGGTATCGCCTTAAAGTGAGCAATTAAAGTAGGGCATTAATCTGATGTTAACTGAATACTTTGTGAGTTAAAGTGGAACTACACTGCATTTGAGCACCACGAACACCATTTCATTCATTTTTAATATTCAGAGCAAACGCTCCCATCCATCCATGTCTTCATGCTTTCATTTGCTGAGAAATCCCCCCACACAACCCCTAAGCATTTCTGGCTGTGGCCATCTTGAGTAAGAGCAGATGATTCATGTAGCATTTACTACATGTAGCTCAACAAATAGATAAATCATTTTACTAACAACAATATCTTTTTTGGTGAGTTTCTATGCCTATATGATAAATCTTCGTGTATATACAGTATTTTAAAACTAAACTGTACAATAGGCCAAGGTTATGCCTCTTGAAGAATCACAACCATTTTAAAGTAATCTCCCGTCCCTAATTAAAGTACATTCTCCATCTACAATGGTTTGCAGGATAAAGAGCAAAAACAGGTATCCTTGGAAAAATTTTTTGAAATGTTGGAAACTATGCAGACTAGGCTCCTCTCCTGCTCTCCTGCTCTCC